GTTGGCTCTCCCCACCAGAAGGCAAACAGCATGGGGACAGACATGACATTAGATGCTTGGGATCACCTGCTTAACAAAACATTAAGCGTGATTTTGGAATGGACAAAAGAAGAAAAGGCCCGAGTTCTGTCCACAGTTCATTAACATCTGTAGCACCAACCAAGACAGCGCTAGCCAGTGTAAACAAAAACTGTGGGGAGGATAAGCATAATCTTGATTAACTCTTAGTTTTTCCCCCACTCTGAGAAATATGAAGAATGAAAATTTATGTGAAGAATTTATATGAAGGAAGTCATGTGCATTGGATTGAAGCAGATAATAAAGTTACACAGAAGCAAAATATTCAGCTAAGATGAAACTAATGTGTTTAGCCATGATGAGATAGAATGAAAAGTGGCACCCTCCTTCATGCAGGGCTAGAAACGGAGCTAATAGATGCTCGCAGCATACAGCTCCTAAACGGAATTTTAACAAGCAAGAAAGGCAAATGAATATTTCACAAGGTAGCCCGGTCCTGCTGTGCGTTTCATGTCTTGAGCTCTGAAGTTGGAGCCGCGCTTGGAGAAAGAGATGGCGGTCGTTGCTTTTACTCATCATTGCGTCTTAGATTTCAGACCTGGCACTTCCAACCACCGCAGCATCCTGTGCCTTAATACCAAACAGTGCGTGGTAGCAGGCCACCTTTGGTTAAGAGTGATGCCAAGCAAAACCCAGGAAGAGAACAGGGGCCCAGAAGCCAAGGCTGTCAGCCTGACTGTGATTCTCAAACTGGTTACTATCACGTTCTAGTGAGGGGAACTTATTGTATCATAATTGCATGCAAAGGAGTGCATGAAAAAAATCATAATACAATGTCCCTTGCTCATGTGACAGATGCTACCATCCGGAAAGATAAAAGCACTCAATGATCAGAATTATTGTTAGATTGTAGATCAGATTTAGAAGAAGCAAGGAAATCTGGGCATTACTACTATGTATTCTGTGAGGCGGCTTGAAGTTCAAGCCTATTTGATGGCAGGATAGAAAAACAGTGTGTCTCTGTCCCCCATTCCTTATAGAAGAGTAAGGACAAACATCTCAATTCACCCAGCACACTTAATTCCAAATAAACATTGCCAGGTCCAAAAGAAACTCAGGACAAATGGTTCACAGAGGTGTCCATTAGCACACCAACGCACATGTTGGCCTCCAGGCTCACAGGGTACCTGAGGCTCCTCAGCTCCTCTCACCCCCACCCCTGCCCTAAACCTCTCCAGCTCAGGGCTTCCCTTCACCCAGCCTCTGATTCCTGTATCACCTGTCATTACAGCTATGGGCTCTCTTGCTCCTCCCTCCGTCTTCTTTGCATCCTCTCTCTTCCTCTCTCGCTCTCCTATCTCTCCCTCCCTCTCATGTCCAGTCCAGTTTGCTGATCATGTTTAGTCTACCACTTCTCTCCCTGCTCTGGACTCTTCCGGATGCCGTGGGCTTTGCTCTTCCTCGTGTCTACAATAAAAACTTTCTCCTCAACCATGCTTGGAGTTGTCATGATCTCATTTCATTCAAATGTAAGCTTCCGAGTTTGGTTTTTTTTTTCTATTATTAACAGTAAAAATATTAACTAATAGAGACTTTTAAAGCCCTACCTGCTAATATTCCAATTCTAAATTCCACCTTTGTTATCGGAATAGAAATACTTAACTCCTCTAATTCAACCATAGCCTTCCTGTTTAATCTAAATGAGTACCACTATTGTGAATGTCTCACCTTGCTGTGATCATTTGACACAATTGTGTGGTTCTTTGTATAGATTTTTAACCCTAAAGTAATTGGGTATTGGGTGTTTTCTACGTGCAAGGGGTGGTGTTGCATTATTTAATCACAAATATTAAATGAGAATTTCAATTTGATGGAGGAGGACAGCGAATAAGATTTAGGATTAAAAGTCACAGCACTGTTCTGGAACTCTCAGTGTACACAGTCAAACTCCTTGGATGTGGAATCAAATGTCATCCGATCAATGACATTTTGGGAGGTCCGCTAACAGGAACCTTGGTGTTTTGTGACCCGGTGGCACAGCTGGCATCTCACAGTCTAGGAACCCACTGTGACAGTCCATATAGACACTGAGACAAGTTCAAATGGCTCTTTGCTGTCCTGGCTGCCACGCTAAACTCTACCTTCATTGCAGCTAGCTGTGGCAGGAGAGTTCCTTCTTGGAAAACTTCTCTTCTCTCCTTTGATGGGAATTCAGCGTTTGGAGATGGATCAGATGAAGAAACGGGAACAAGTTCCTGATAGAATATATGGGATTGGGGTCAGCAGCCACGCTGTCCTCTGACTTTCAAGGGAAATTCTAATATGTTTGTAATTTTTTTCTTAATGGATTTCTATTTTGCATCAACTTTCTGAATCAAAAATATGTTTGCCAAGAAACAATTTCCCCTTTCTTTCAGTTCTCCCCACCACATGGAAGTGGCATTGATTTGCACAATTATGAAATCTTGGGGCAAGCAGTATCTTGATACTATTATGAAGCAAACTGATACTTCTGAGATGCTGATAGACACATACTCTAATTTTTTAAAATCCAGTTACTTAGTTATTAATTTAATTTTCTTGCAACAGTTCTAATTAGTGTTTTTTTATTTTTTATTTTTTTATTTTTATTTTTTTCCATTGAGAGCCAAACTGCCTCTTGAAAAGACAAAATGATGATAGACTCCTCTTTGGAAAACAGGGTGAGTATAAAAATCATGACAAGAAAGAACATGGAGACAAAAGAATTGGACTAGATGAACAAAGAAATATGCAAGCTTACAAAAACATGACCCAAAACGGAAGGGGGAGAAGAAGGGAGAGGAGTGGGGGAGAAAGAGAAAATAAAAGCACTTCAATCGAAACTCTCGCTATCAAAATCAAAGCATTTCACATAGAGCAAACAGGATACAGTTTACCAGTAAAAACTTGTGACCACATTTCTGTTTCTACGAGTAGAGCCTGAAGCTGAACCAAAAAAACTCAGTTTCTGGGTAAGGCACAGGAATTAAACTTCTCACTGGGCCTTAAGTGGCTGAGAGAAGACAAATGTGTGACCCGGAGAAGGGAAGCAAAAACAAAGGGCTTGCGATGGCACCAGCTGAATAAGAGAAGCCAGCATCTAGGATTTGTGAGCCAGAGTACCCGGTAGGAAGCAGCAACCTAAACCAGAACTCCAGGGATCAGAGAGTGTCTGGGGGCTTTGGCTGCATCCTCATTTGCACACACATGGGGACTCTCCCTTTGGCCAGAGAGAACAACACAGACAGACTGACCAGGAGAATAACACTGGCCAGGGCTGTGAGATCCAGTGATAATAACAGGCCTCACCACGTACGCCAGTCATGATATGACTGCCCCGGTCCAACATCTAAGTATCTTGTATCTTATAGACAGACAGTCGTCTGCCTGGCTCAAGACATTTGGAAGGAACAGGCATGGATCAGGAGAGGAAAGGGAGGGAGCAGCTGCAGTAGCCACATGGGTCCACGCTGGGTACGCCCGGGCCCTCTAGTCTAACAGAAAATAACTGGCATCTGGCTCAACACCCAAGTCGAGAGCCGCAGCAGCTAGAGAGTTGTCGGTAGTTGTTCCACAGAGGAGAAGCCTTTGCCCTTGTTGTGGCCTTCGGTTTCTGGCTCTTTCTGGGAGACCTGGGATTATTTCTAATCACAGTTTTGCATGGACCCATAGCAACCATGTAAGTACCCGAATCAAAGGTCTCTGTCCACTTCAGGTCGTCTTCTGGGAAAAAATTTCCCTATACCTAGACATCCATGGCCATACTTTAAAACACATCTAAGAGAGTGAAATGGGGCTCAAGGGAAATGAAACCATGTTTACCACCTTCTACCTACTTCATTCCTCAAACTGTATTTTTTTAGTTTCAAGGAAATTATAGAAAACTACGGCAAATGAGAACCGGGGTTTAACCTTCTTGGACAGATCTATTTCCTCTCTTTCTGTTAAGCGTAAGTGCTGCTGATTAAACGTAGATGCAATCTTCCTGGCTGATACTGGCTCCAGGAACTGAAGATAGGTCACCTCCCTGTCTTCAAGTCCCCCCACTTCCCACACACCCTCTCTTTTTCTTTCCCACTGCCCCCTTGTCTCCTTCATGCCCAGCCAATTCTCAGCCCAGCCTGGTGCGCCTGCTGAGCATGCTCGTGGAAGTCAATGATCCTGGCACCTTGCCCAAGAGCATGGAAACCGGAGCCTGGGCACTTGGATTCGGAAGCTCCCTCTGTCACAAACTGGCTCTGCCATCCTGTTTGCCAGTCACTTAAGCCCTCTGTATCACAGTTCCCCTGTCCATGGAAGGAAAACATTCTTAGTATGTGTTTCATGGAGTCACTGTGTGGATTAGTGAGATAATGTCCCCAAAGCCCTTGGCACAGTGCCAGGCACATAGCAGGCTCTCACTAAATGTGAGCTTTGGTTATTAATAGTTACCTTTTACTTGGGGCTTTGTTCAGTGAAATAGCCAAGTAAAAAGGAAATGAGAATTCTGGTAGATTTTTTGTTGTTATTGTCTGTTTGGTTTTTATTTTGTTTTGTTTTCTGGAAAGAGAAAATAGAGAAGGCCATGAACTGAGGGAGGGAGAAGCTGAGGGAGGGAGAAGAAGCACGGAGAAGGCAGGATGTGGAAAGCCTGCAGAGCAAAGCTCCTCCCTGTTTGGTGCCTTGCTTCTCCCTCTTCTCAGACACGCACAGGCACAAAGCTTCAGCATCTTTAAGTCCTCATGCTCCGACCCCTGCCTTCACTTCAGGGGGAGCAACGCTGTGCTCAGAATCACCGCAGGCAGAATTCAATAGAACCTTTTAAGCCACATCATAATGCGGCCAAACATCAGAAGCAGGGGGGTAAAAAAAAAAAAAAAAAAAAAAGAAACACAGAAAAACCTTGTGCAACTTATTCTCCCACCAGGTTGTGGAAACCGAAAGAGCTCGTTAGGCTGGGGGATAAAGCAGACTTTCCTCACCTGCAGGAGTCGGCTTGGCTGATTAAGGCCCGTCCCTTCTGCAGAGCAGCGGCGGTGGAGTCTTTAATTTCTCTGTGTAATTCCTCATGCCTCGCTGCCAAGACAGGCAGGCTTAAACCCTCTGATTTAAGGAGCTTAAGGTAAGCTTCGACTTCTCCAAGTACATCAAATGCCTGCCAAAGAAAACATACTTTCATTTTCTGCTTTTCTAGTTTAAAACTCGGCATCAGTGTGCGCACGGAACGCTGGCGATTAAAGCAGGCCATTGAACTTCGTAGTTTGAGCGTAGCAACAAAAAATATCTCAGTTCTGGGGAACAGCTGTGCAGTCCCCGCTTAGGGAAACGTACAGTTTAGTTCAACATAAATAAATATCCACACCATAAAAGTACCAAGATAGCTTATACCGAGAAGACACCTGTACGACGCAGGTAGACACGGTTGAAATTCAGAATCAGACGGATATTTTGCATATTTTACACACATAATGGATGAGCTATTAAAAATGTGTATCCTTTCATGGCCTGAATATCTCAGCAGTGGAGTTGGGATGGATGGAGCACGTGCCCCCGCATTCAGCTTACTGTCTTAGGGAAGTAACGCAAATGGCCAAATTCAAACTGGACAGAACTGGAATCTACGGAATCCTCTCAAATGGTCTTTTATGTTGAGATTCTCTCCTCCCTCCAACGTCCTCATGTCTTCCAGGTTTGCCGTCTCTAGTCACTTAAGCCTTGCAGAGAAACCTTGATATCCAAGGATCCTTTCTTACTTGACCATGTTTCTCTTGAGGTTGGGAACAAAGCAAAATGCAGAAATACGCTGGCATTCTGGTTGAATGATGAGCCATGCCATGTTTGTTGTTGGTTGAAAATTAAAGAGAAACAAAGAAAGTAACTAAGAATGAGGGTGAGTGTTTAGAAAGTACCCACACATGTTTAACTGCTAGTCTAGATCTTGGTCACTCAAACACATCTTTAAAAAGTCTCCTAGAAGGGCACATTCACCTGTCACCTGCCTTTCATCTTAGGGAGATTTCTTCTGTGACCCTACACCAGGCCTTGACCATGGCCTCATTTTCATAGGGGTTAGAAGCTAAAACTGCAAGGCTATTATAGATACATGTGTAATGTCACTGTTCCCTAGTCTTGATGCTATAATAAAGGCATGACATCCCAAAATAATGCAGATAAATTGAAGGGCCAAACATACACAAGAAGTAGGAGTCATATAGGCAAAGATATGATATATATTATATAAACATATAATATTTAAATATTCAAACATAATTACATATACTGTATAACATTATATATAATATAGTAAGAGTCACATATGGGCAAAGGCAACTCATGAACTTGGAAACAAGGGAGCCAAATTTTCTCCCATATTCTTTTCTCAAACAGATCAAATATTAGGGATACACTTTATGATTTTCTCTGCATAATAGAGCAAGTAATAAAATGGTGACAACATAAAGGGATGGCAGGTTTCCTTCTTTCATTAGCTTATCACAAACCCGTGCAGAACACTCGTGAGTGAGGTGAGAGGGATCTCATAGTGGAGTTCATTAGGGTTTGAGTTCGCTTTTTGTTCTCCTAGTAAAACACCAAGACCAAAAGCAAACTCGGAAGGAAAGGGTTTACAGCATCTTAGAGATTAAAGTCCATCATTGACAGAAGCCAGAACAAGAGCTCAAGGCAGGGACAGAATCAGAGACCACGGAAGAGCATAGCTATTGGCTTTCCTTGTTATACAACCCAGGGTCACTTGCCCATGGACAGAACTGCCCACAGTGGCCTTGGTCCTCCACAACCACCATCAACCAAGAAAATGTCCCACAGATGCGCGTGCAGGCTGCTCTGACGGAGGCGATTCTTCCACGAGGGCTCTCTCTTCCCAGATGCCTCTAATTGTGTCAAGTTGATTAAAAGCCAACCAGCACACTTTGTTTTAAGCATCACTGGGGGATGGTGGGATAGTTCTGTAGACACAGACAGAAGAACTAAACCTTTGGGCTTTAAAAGAATTCCTTCTTCAAAAGTATACTCTCTGTGAGTAGAATTCGATGCGGAATCCATGCGCCACTTCCAGAAATGACCTAAGCACCACCACTCTCATCCCACTCATCCCAGCCTAGAAGAGATTCCTTTGCTATGTGCCCTATCCGTAGGGAACTTGATATCCTGGATCTCTTTACTGCAATCACAGCACAGGAGGTCTGCCCGGCAGCGAGAACACTGTGAGCCTCACACAGACGACTGGAATTCAAGTGCCCTCTCCCTTCTCTCTTCTTTCCACAGCCCCCTGCTTCTTCAAGCCTTATATGTCCCGGGCGAATCAAGATTTTATGACTAGACTGGGAGGAAAAGATAAAAGCACAAGGGCCGTTATTTTCTCCTGCTGGATCCTAGCTCATTTGAACCATCTCAGTCCCCCACATTCGGAGGAGACAGGTCAGCTCCTTGGAGCCCTAATTTGGGAAAGATGAAGGAACTGCTTGGCTTTTGTTCTTAAAGGGGCCAATAGAAAAAAACCTTTCCTGTTCCTTTTGTTAAGAGCAGATCCAAGGTCAGTCAACCGCACCAAATCAAACATAGATGGTATCAGAGAATGGCGTAATTTATTCGTTTTATTTATTTAAAAAGACTCATGAGTCACCCGGCATAATTCTGCTGCCATGCTGGTTCACAAAGATACTGAATAAATAAGTGTCCGATTTTTGACTAATAAATTTGGAAAGAGTCAATATTGGATAACAACAAAATGGCACACCCTGGACAATGACCGAGGTCACAAAACTCAACACGGCTTCTGACCAGAGACTCTGCTCCCACCTCTTTTGGAGGGCCAGGAACCCTCAGTTGCTTATACAAGGACACAGATCTTCCCTTTCTGATCTTACACATCACCAAAGACAACTGCTGGTGGTTCAGGCTGGACAACCGATTCGTCGTTCAGGATGCGGCTGAAGGCGCTCCAGCTTGCAAAGCTATGAGGACCAGGAGCTGGAGGAGGATGAATTTCAGGTCCTTCTTTCCCATGTCTCCCACTACCCCATCCGTTCCTTGCTTCTCAAAATTATTTTGCTGCCCCACCTCGACCCCTCCCAGTCACAGGGTAGATAAGTGCTCCTAAAAAGCTGTGTTTAAAGCCATTTGTTGCTCAGAAGGTTTTCTCACAAGTTCAAAAATGCTGGAAAAGGAGCTTTGGCTTGAATGCGGGCATCAGCAGCGTTTTATCAATAAGGGAATGGAGGAAGCGTACATACAAACATCTCGGTCTTCCTGAGGCAAATTCACCTCACAAAGGAAATGAGACTCATGAAGCAGAACTTTAGGATGCTCGGGTCTGTTCACCATTTTTTTTCTTTTATCTTAACTGACATAAGAGATTTTTAAGATGATCTTTGTGCTATTAATATGGGAAATCATGCATGAATCATTTCTGCTTTCATCCCCTGAAGGAATATCCAGTGACATCTGAGAACCATAGACTCAACTGCGTGCTGAGGATAAGACTGACCACATTAGGGGGCCAAAGCAATATGAAACGCTTATGGATTGGGAGAACAGCGGCTGGCTCTCAGCAAGCTCTTAGCCATGTGGTGCACTAATTTATTTAGGTGGCCTGGTGATCCTGTAAGGACACAGAATCAGGATTTCTATTTTACAAATAAAGATGTCAGGTGCAGGAGGACGTGAAGTAAATGTCCAGGCCATGTGGTTAAGAAATGCGTCAGGACGGAATCATGCCCAGCCTGACTCCAAAACCCAGGATATTACTGTCTCAGTCATGCTAACAAAGATTTCTCCATTTCTCCTTGAGGCCCTCCAGTCGATTTTATATTCCAGCCATACCCTTAAAAGCCTGTACGATTTATTACCAACCCTAAAAAAAAATGATGGAAAGATATTCCCTGAAGTAAATGGAATCGTTAGACTCATTTGTGAAGCAAAAACTCAAGTTCAAAAACTGGACCCATGTACCATAGAACCAGCTGTTGAGTCCTTCATGCAACATAAACATTTTGAACACTAGGTGGCATACCAAGATGATTAAGACGACCTCTCTCTTGAACCGCAGGTTAATAAACAGTGAACGCTGCCTGGAGACTTTGGATGTGGGGATACACATGGTATTCTCTTTTATGAAACCCCACTCAGCTTCTCAGGCATGGCACAGAAGCTGCACTGGGAATTGGTGCTCCTTGGATTTTGCGGTAAGATTTCCCCTTTCAAACTGAGCTTATCCCAAATACTTTGGATCAATATAATCTCTCATGAACAACACAAGACAGTTTTCTTTGTTGTATGATCTTTTTTCTGGGTGGGGATGAGAACAAATCCGGTGCTATATAGGACAGACTAAAGTAGAATTCTCTCAAGGCCTAGCATGGGCAACCAATGAATTAGTTGGGCTACTTACAGAACACGGGCTAGGGGTTACTTATAGGAGCGTGGGTGACCACAGAGAAGCCATGCCAATAGCAACCTTCCTGTACCTTCAGAGAGGGAGTCTTTCCCTTCACTTAACTTGGTGCACGTAATATATCCACCTGCTCCCTTCAGACTATGAGTCTGTGTGCATTTAGAGAAAAAAAAAATAGACAGGAAGGGACAGGAAGCAGCGGTTAGAACCTCAGGTGAGGGGCCAGTGAGGCTTCTCTCCTCTCCTGTGAGAGAGTATCAATCACCTTGTCTTGAAGGTGTCTTACAAGCAGCCTCAGCTGCTCTACTGAGGGTGAGAGATATGCTCAGAGGGGCCTGGTCTCCAATAGAGCAGCAGCCCTGAAGTTAGTATTGTGTTCTCAATGATTCAAACTATTAACTAGAAGGCCCTATTCTTAGTGTTTGGGTAAATACAAAGTGAGGTACACATATTTCTTAGTTTAATTAGGCAACGAAAAACAAATCTGCCAAGAAGTGACCATACCCACAAGGCTGAATTTGTTCACTGCCAAAAGAGATACATCCTAGCGTAGACGCACACATGGAAGGACACCCAGTGAATACAGTCATGATGTAAGGAGCCACTGACCAGTTTCCTGGAAAGTGCTTACTCATGAGCGGGAGTCAAACTGAATGTCTCCTTTTATATTTGCAGTACTGGAGGTCGAATCCAGAACCCTACAGACACCAGGCAAACACTCTACTACTGGGCTATATAACCCCAAAATTGAACATCTTGACTATCAGACCTTGTAGCCTGATGTAGGTTTAGGCTCTTGCGATGAAGGATACTAAAAACAGCCTATATTTTCCATCATATATTTAATACTTCTGTACTAATAACTCAGCCATCTTTCTTGAGTATCTGCTGAGGTTTAAACAATCTGACTGATCTCTGAGCTTTAAAGTACAAGGTTCTGAACTGCACAGTCATTATTCTATGGGGGGGGGGCAGAAGGAAGGTAGAGTAAATGAAGATTCCTCATCAGTTTCTGGGGTTAGATTTGACTTATCACAATCTCTTTTCAAGTTCTCAATTATTTCTTCTTCTGTATTATATAACAAATGATAAATAACAGCAACAACTAGTCGATAAGGCATAACATACATAGTAAACACTATATATTGTGAATCACACACACGAACACACACTCCTGACCTTGGTGTCCACATTCCTCCCTGTGCCCCTGGCTACCTCTCCTGAATCTCCCTTAATGCTGATCTTCTACCGCGCTCCTCAGGCAATGACTTAGCCGACATTTCCCACGCTGCCAGACTCTGAATCTCTCCGTGTTTGCCCTCCCTTTGTGTGTCACCCCAAGTGCACTCAGTGGTATCTCGACACATTTGCCCTGGCCAGGCTCTGCTCAGGGCTCCCCTCAGTACTGGGCTTAACCCCATGACTTTGCTACAGTATATCACTCTGTCTTATAAACACCCATGAGAGTCTAGCACCTGGGACCACACCCACCACTGGCTTTACTCAACTAACTATCCAACACAGGTCAATGGTAGGAATGCAACATACTATCAGGGTGAAAGAAGCTTGGTGGGAAGCCACCATTCCAGTTGTTTCTTAGAGAAAAGAATGATTTCTAAAAAGAGGAATCCAAGGGAATGGAGACATGGATTGGTGGTTAAGAGCCTGTGCTCTTAACAGAGCCTCCAGGTGCCCATGTCAAAGACACTTGTAACTCCAGCTAAAAGGTATCTGACTGCCCTTTTTGGCCTCCACAGAGCGCAAGCACTTGACAGAACATGAGGCAGTTCAGCCAATGAGTCTGTTTGCTGAGATAATAATTCTCATATCAGAAGCAGAATTGGTGCCTGTAGGAAAGAGCTGTCCTTAGGCAGGGTCTTATTTGTGCCCCCGTGACAGTAGCAGCCAATCTTGCACGTGCGATCTCTAACACCCGTCTCTTGTAAGCCAAGAATAGATGACCTGACCTCTTTAGCAGGACACCTATCTCAGTGTGGGTTATACAGATAGCAATCTTCCCATTTGAGGTGATGTCACCCCCAGAGACAAAAGAGTAGGCTTGCTGCTTGCTATAAAACAACAGATTCTCTGAGTTGGAGAGTTCCTCTCCACGCCGCTAACTCTGTGGGGGAAACGTGGGCCTGCCCCCCTCTCCACGCTGCTAACTCTGTGGGGGAGACGTGGGCCTGCCCCCCTCTCCACGCCGCTAACTCTGTGGGGGAGACGTGTGCCTGCATCCCTCTCCACGCCGCTAACTCTGTGGGGGAGACGTGTGCCTGTATCCCTCTCCACGCCGCTAACTCTGCGGTGGAGACGTGGGCCTTCACCCCTCTCCACGCTGTTAGCTCTGTGGGGGAGACGAGGGCCTGTACTCTCCATCGCCCATGTTGGAACTGGGCCATACTGAGCTCGTTTGCCTGCTGCCACCCAGCTAGTGCTTTGCTGCAGTCGTCATTCGGCGCTGACCCAGAAACCATGTGACTTCTGCCAGCATCCATGAAAGGACAGCAAGTGAGCCTGAAAGTCAGTAAACTCCCAGAGTCCTTGGTATGTGGAGCATGGTGTCATCTACAAATACAAATGCTCACAGCAAGGAAACCCAGCATCCTCCAGACACATCACAGGGAGTTTTCCAAGGGAAAACATGGTGTTTCTCAGAAAAAAAAAATGATGATATAAATTAAAAACTACCCCACCTACTACTATATACAGAAATTCTAGCTAGAAAATTATGATCATCATCATCATCATTATCTTAAAATTTTTTGAGACAGGGTTTCTTTGTTTAACAATCCTGGCTGTCCTGGAATTCACGCTGTAGACAAGGTTGGCCTCGAACTCACAGAGATCCACCTGCCTCTGCCTCCCAAGTGCTGGGATTAAAGGCGTGTTTTACATGCCTTTCTACCTTTCTACCTCCAGGCAGAAAATTACTTTAAAGACTTGATACTATAATAATTTTTAAAACCAACTCTTCAGAGATTCATTTATGGGTTTTCTGGCAAGATTAGATAAAATAGCAAGATTTTTTTTAATTTGGAGAATCCAAAATATGAATCAAAAAGAAAAAATGTCACTGATAAGTCATAGGAGGGGTTTGACTCTCGGCCTACACAGATTTGCTCTCTATATGAATCTGTCACTTATGTTTACCTTACTAACACAGAAACAATGTACTGGGTGGTTATTCACCTTCACTCCACAAACTCTGGCATCTGGCCCTGCCCCAGCCCCCATATCCATCATCTTTCACATTGGGCTATTAGTTTTTAATTTGGAAATAATTTCCTTAAAAAGAAAAAACTCTAAACCTTTCTGAGAACCATTGGCCACAAGTCACAGCACAGGCGAACGCCAGCCAACTTTATACTGGGACTAGTTAGCACGCTGTGGGATGAGAGAAGGAATCTACTCTTTTGGGTTCTCTTCTCTAGACTAGACTTGCATTATTATATGAGATTCAGAAAGTATCCACTCTTGTCTTTTCCCTCTCTTTCTTCCTTCCTATCTACCTCCTCCATCAGTTCATCTTTTTTAACTTTTACAAATTCCCCCAGGGTCTGAGAATAAAGTCAGATGACAAACAACCAAGGCAAGGTATCAAATAATGAATGCAGAGAAATCAAAATATTGAAGAACAAGAGAGAGTGGGGGAAGGTGGGAGAGAATGAAAGAGGGAGAAAGGGAGGGAAGGGGAGAGGGAGAGAGAGAATTGTCTACATTTTGCAAGGCTGTGAGCTCTGCAGCTTCTATTAGAAGCACTGCTTTATAGAAACTCATTCTATTACTCCTTCCCTGATTTCCTCGGTGTGTAAATCAAAGGTGTGATGGAAATTTTACAACCTCTTACTTCAAAATTAGGCTGCTAAGGAAAAACAATAACTACCAATTGGCATCTACTTTGTTCATTATCTCTAGCTATATGTTGTATCTGTTTCCTATGTTAAAACAGTGAGACTCCCAAAGCACACAGCTAATCTACAGTACTTAATAGGTTTCCCGGAATGCCATCTTCTCTGTCTTAGAATTTTACTACTCATCTTTTCAGAAGATTTTTGTAAGTAACAATTTCACAATGAAGTAACCATGTAGCTTACAACACTCAGCACCAGTGTGGCGATTTTAGAGCTCTTTGTATGAAGTTTCCCTTGTCCTATGCTTGTTACTTCGTCTACCTTTAAATTGCTGAGACATCTAGAGGTCTATGTGACTGTGGCAAAGGTCAGAATCTGTTCAAGTAACAGCAGCAGCCACACACACTGAACCCCACCTGTGTGTATAAACAGTAGCGAGGCATTGCTTAGGATTCTGCAGGTTGGAAGCCTGTGCTCCTGAAGGGACCAGGGTTCTGTTGTGATGAAAGCTCTCTCCTGGGATGCAGACAAACTTCTTATTTCTCATACAGCAGAAGGTGAAGTGGAAATCCTATTCCAGAGGCTCCACCTCTGACCTAATGACTTGTTACTGATGAGTCATAAACAGTACCACCCCCAGGACCACCGGCTTCAACAGGAAGGTATTTACCACGGAGAAGTGGCATACTTCTACTCAAGAAGACCCACTGATGGTCTGTAGCAAGATGCCCCCATTCTCTTACTTAAACGTGTACCCCCAAAGCTGAACGGCTGGTATGGGGCAGTTTCTAACCCTAAGACTCTATATGCAGAGAAGACTTATAATATCTATGTATTTCTGCATAATAAACTAAAGAAAAATGTTATAGAAGAACAAAAGTGGATCCGGGACATAGCTCAAGTGCTAGAGTACTCGTTCAGTGTGCACAAGTCTCCAGCACTATATAAACTGGTTTGGTAATGCATGACAGCAACCCCAGCCCTAGAGAGGTGGACACAGGGAGGTCAGATCAGGGCCATCTTTAGCTAAATTGGGAGGTGGAGGCCAGCCTGAACTACTCTTTAAAGTGAACAATAAAAGGTGTTTTGGTAACACTGTTAAGGTTTCTTTTCAACCTGATATATTTCATATTTCCTTATCTCTTGGAGAATAGTGTCTCCCACAAACAGACCAATGACAGCTCCAAAGGGAAATCTTTTAAAAGTTGCTTTGTTGTTGGTTATTTATTTGTGGTTTTTGTTTGTTTGCTTGTTTTTAAGACAGAGTCTCACTATATAACTGGCCTGGAACATGCAGACCAGGCTGGCCTCAAGCTCACAGCCTCCCGAGTGTGTGTGTCATGAAACCTAGCTTTGGAGTGATTTTAAAAACTAACTCTATGTACATCAAAACATAATCCCTTAGTTGTAAAAAAAAAAACTAATAGCCACAACAAGAATATGATCATATATTTCTTTTCTACTTCTATCAGTTTGATATTCTACATGGAATTTAGCCTTTTGCAATGTGCCCTGACCAGCTAACACAATGGGTCTCTTATTGGATAGCCTAAGTACCTATGATGATCATCTTGACCTCACACTGACCTTATTGGCACTGGTGAAAAAGTCATTTGCCAGAGTTAACCAGGTCTTTCTATCCACCATAAGTCGACCAAACTCTTCTTGAAGCCGATTCAGTTTCTGGTTAGAGAGCTGGAGGTGTTCTTTGTCTGCGAAGTCCTTCGACAGAAGAATCTCCAGGGCCTGGCTCTTCAGCTTCTCTACGGTCGAATTCCACTCCTGTAAGAGAACATCCTCTTTAGTGATTGCACACAGATCTTGCCATGAATTGAATGTTTGTGTGTCCTTCCCCAAATCCAAAGATGGTTTGGGGAGGTGGAGGTTAGGACAGAGGGCAGAGCCTCTAAGTAGGATGCCCACTCTCCTTCTGCTACACAGCACACAATGGGAAGTTGATCTGCATCCCAGAAGGAGCCCTCATCACAACAGAACCCTTGTCCTTTCCTGACCCCCAGAATTGTGAGAAATGAGTTATTCTTGCTCATCAGTCTTTGTTTATGATACTTCACACTACAGCAACCAGAATTAAGACACTCTCTCTGCCATGCCTCAGAGATTTGGGAGACATGAATCAGGAATCTGTCATTATATTTTCTGATCCATAAAGTCCAATACATCGTGTAGAAGCAATTGCTACATTGTGGGTTTGAGTACCAACGTGTAGTCAGAATAGAAAAGGATACAGAAAACAGGCTCCAGAAGACAAGAACAGCAGAGGGAAAATGGCAGAGTGACTGACAGATCGCCCTAAAGCGGATCATATCCATTTCTGCTACCTCTACTCCAAAACACACTCAACATCCCCGACTCGTTCTGTCTGATTTGCAGTCATCTAAGCGTAAAAAAAGTATCTCTCCCACAATCGGTCTCCTTGTCAATGGAACAAACATGTACAAGAAAGAGAGAGGAATCCCATGTCCACGGCTATTGTTTTTGTGTTTGCCTGCACAGAAAGACTGAAGTTCATCACTCATCGTAAAATAAACGCCCATCAGAATGCACTGCTTTCTTCTTGATCCGGGTCTCATCTATGAATGCTTCACACTTAGTGATATGTCAGAAAAAAAAAGCCTAGCTTTCTACTTTATATGGCATGAGGGTTAAAAACACAAGCAACAGAGGAAAAAAAAATACGAGTCAGAATAAACCAGTATTTATGTTAATTTCTTGAGCAAGTTCAAGTTTCTTGAGTGATACCAGATTGGTCTGCATAAAACAATGACTGCCGCTAAGATGGCTGTCTTGTCAGTGTGTTTTCCGATGTCATCTTAGCTGACGTTAAATAAAGCACAGGGCAATTCACGAAGCATAAGAGATTTAACATCAGACTTGAAACATCTCAGCCTGACTCTGTCCTGGCATGTCTGCTGTGCAAAACTGTCCTGTTAATAAATCACATTGGCTACATTATGTTGCATAAGACAAGTCTGAGTTTAGGTCATGTGCCATGACAGTTTCCATTAATTTCATAAGACACACTGCATACAACACACCTGGTACAGCTGGGGACTTCAAAGAAAGAATAAAACGTAACTTCATTCTCTAGCAATACGCAGATTGCTATTTCATACAACTATCCTGTATTACATTGTAAAATATATTAAATATACATACACAATATGAGAGTGTTCTTCAGTGATAATGAGTTAGTCTTGAATGTAGAAATGACAGGTATTCTTTTGTAATTCCATGGAACCTGTCCCAGTATTTGATCGAGGGATATGAAAATAAGGGAGGCAGGCTAAGGGGTGGAGGAGGAGTGGGAGGAGCCTTCTGTAAGTGTGGCTTGTAACTATAATCTTTGAAAATCCTCGGATTTGGGTGTGGTTTTTTCTGCCTTTGTTTCACGGACTCAGAAGACTTTGTTACACACGGTGACACTGCCCATAAGAGGGACCAGTGAGGCTAGTGCCTGGGTCTCTGTACCATGCTAACTTCCAGAGACCTGAGGGTCAGAAACCAAACCCTCCACATTCCTCACGGACGAGAAGAGCTGTCCTCACGGGCACGGGCTTTGTGTCACATGCCTTCTCAAGATCACCCACTTTCTCAAAGAGCGTTGTGTCCCCACTTGAACAAAACTAATACATTTATTTCATGGCATTCTTCTCCAAAGCATGGTAAACAACCCTCCCACTTCAAAACCAGCAAAGACCTGTTGGGAAAGAACAAATGTTCTCGAAGTGGCCCAGCCCACAGTATACACACCTGGCCTCACTGAGGATCAACTTTACTTTCTTCCACGAGTTCTCTCATTGCCCCCATTACCTAATAGTTGATCTTCATGTATGGGTATTTCTTTTTCCCAGTTCTGAGCTAAGGGTAATGGTATGTTCCCCAAGGGTTATCAGGTAGTATGGTACTCAGTGTTAAGGGGAACAGGGTTCTGTGTCCCAGAAATTCTCAAATTTCTGCTATGCTGGTGTGTGCCAAGCCCCTCTAGGAGGCCTTGAACTGTCTGCTTGCCTTCCTGCTAACCCCACTCTTCCGGTTTCCTTGTTTATTTTTCCTCATTTCTTTCCACCTTTTACGTATGCACATGTGCTGTGCTGTACATGAGTATGCGCTGACATCCCTCGGCATGGATGGATGGATACTCGTGTGTGGGCACACATCCCTGAGTGTATGTCCTCAAACACTCTCTGCCTTATTCACTGAGGTAGGAATTCTCAAACTCAGAGGTCACTGATGTGGTTGGTGCTAACTAGTCTGCTCTTTGGATCTGCTGTCTGCTCCTATTGAGGTTGGAACCCCAGGCCATTTACATGCAGTCCAGGGACCCAAATTCCAGTCCTGACACTTGTATGAAATGTACTTCAGCCACTGAGCCATCTCTTCACTCTTCTTTCTTTGTACATTTAGCTACCCACGAGATCCACCTCAAGACTATGGGCCATTATTTCTATAATCCGTTAATATCTATGGGACAAGTAATCTTGACCTCATGTGAATACTTAATACGTGAAGAAGCAGACTAAAACAGGTAATCTTTTTTTCAATTGGCATTGACTAGAAACTTATGCATTGATTAGGAGGAAGGACCCTAATAAATGCAAAACAGGGGGGGGGACTGCTTAGTGTGCTACGTGTAAGGAAGATGCAGACACAATCAGAATGTGGAGAAATGGTTCATAGCCACAGTGTGTTGCTGGACGACTTGAAGCTTTAGGACGCTGCACTAGCTGCCAGCAAAGGGGTAACCATGGCTTCTCCTTCCTGCATGGTAGCACTGTGCCGTGTCTGCTTCGTGTATCACCTCACATCAAGAAACACGGCAACTAGGGCTCAGAGGAATTGCACCCTTGCCAAAGGTCTCAGCATCGGCAAGCAGAGGAATCAAAACTGAAGCACAGGTTCTTTCTCCATCAGCTCCATTATCTCCATCCCCAGCTCGCCCTGGAGGAGGATATAACAGGTTTTCACCTTCACAGGTGGGTTTACCCTATCAGCCAAGAGAGCCGCTGTGTTTAAAGTTCCCTAGGGCCCTGATAAGGCCTCCCTGATGATAAAAGTCATACACCACCCTAGGATTTTCTGATTTCAAATCAGAAATCTCACTACAGCAAAACAAATGTCGTGTTTATATCTATTATAGATATAATAAAACATTTCCTGCCCAAGCGCAGGCTTAATTTTGCTTTACCCATTGAACAAACTAATAAAGCTCTCTACCAATAAGGAGAAGAAGGCCTTTTCTTCAAGAACACGCATCAGTCTGCCTTTAGGGTATAAACGGAAAATCCACGTGAGAGAATGTTCTGGTACAGAGTGAAGTGTGTTGGACACCCCCCCCGGCAACCCTCCCCCCACCCTTCCCCCTGCAACCCTTTTTCAAGCGCACGCACACACACACACACACACAAACACTGTCACTTGCTATTTTGATCCTGGTAAAAAAGTAGACTTCGACCTTCTGAGGAAACAACAAAGAACCGGGTTCAGCCTCTCATCTCTTTCCATTCTTAATCACATTCTCACATGAACTCATGGGCATTAAATAAAGCTGGGTGCATTCACTTTTCCTATTCAATCTTCTCAGAAAGTTGGCTGTGTTTTCTTTGGGCAATCTGCAGGCAGTTTCTGATGCGTTTCTATACCATGGCGGTGATGTATTTCCCCAGGCATTTTTCTGAGGAGACACTTTTACTGCTTTATTGTTGGTTTTTTTTTTTTTTTAAGATAAAACTTTCGGAAGTCATCTGAATCCATCACACTTCTTAAAAAATAGAGTTGTCAACCTTGTCAAGGCTGGGGGAGCCCAATGGCGAGAGTCTTAGTTCTTTTTCTCTGAGCCTTTCCCACTGTCTCTTCTGTGTTAAACGTCTTACAGGGTTACAGTCACTTTGCAGTAAAGCATTTCCAGTGAGTGTCCCCACCATCAGAAGCCAAGGTCTGCCATTTCCCTGGCTTTGCAATTAGAGAGAGGCGCGTGCATATCCCTGACCCAATAAAGTCGAGCGGCCGCGTGTACTCCTGGGCTCAGGCTGTCTCTCTGGGTCATTCCATTATTTCCATGTTTTTCGCTCACAGTAGTGACCCTTTTAAACTGCATCACTTCAGTATTTCATCTGCTATAGAAATCGAGCTTGCTCTAAGTTCCCTTGATGGAAAGGGAATTTTATAGAGGATTAGTGTGGCTAGACAAGAAAGGGGGAAAGATTTCTTTCTTTTATTTTTGTTATAGTCTTAGGCGAGATTTCAAATGAAGTTATGGATTGCCATTAAGTGGGTTCAAAAAGTAAAATATGTCCACTACTCCAATTTGAAAAGCAAAAGAAATAACAATTGCAGCATGTTTAATAAGCTTTGTTTCACACAAAACTTCCCCACAGAGGAGAAGACATCGTAATTCAGTACCTTATGATACATTGCCATTCATTGCTTGATTTCACGATGTAATTCTGAGGTGAGGGGAGATGGACAAAACGAAATGGGGACGCATGTGTAAGAGACTGAGGAGGGCTGACAGGCTATTACTGCCCAAACCAGATGGGGCAGAGGCCCATGTTGACTTCACAGACTGCTCCCAAAGCACGGCTGATTCCGAGACCGCCTCACTGAAGGCAGACCATTTCTCCCTCAGTCTTAAATCTCTGATCCCATTTGGTTCAGTACCAGGACAATTAACTCATTGACAGAAAAATCCGAATTTCACATGATTGCATTAGCAGATGGTACAAACAAACCTGGCAATTTTAATCAGGGAACATTTGAAAGTC